TGTATTCTATATATTCTCATATTTATAAATGTCCATATTGTTTGAGAAAAGGAATGAAATACCTTAAAATATGGGCCTCATGTTTTTAGAAAAGTATTTGAAATCTTTTATAAACTTCATATTTTGTTTGTTCCTTTATATTCTGTTACTTAACTGTGCCGAAGAAAGCAGTAGTAAAACAGCTATTTTTGAGGCTGTTACTCATGACTTCCATGTGAGACTGCCACAGAAGTCATATTGAAATATGTCATTTTATCCACTGGGTTTTGTTTCCTACTTTTTAAATTTGTGTTAACAAAGGAAAAAAAAATCACAAGTTTGTCTAACCATTCAGCAGAAAAATCGACAAAGCATTTGCAGACAACTTGGCAAGGGTACAGAGAAACAGATGTACTGTTTTTTTAGTATTGGGGAGGGTGGTTTGAGCAGCATTTATTGACAATTTCATTAGTGGGAATGTTTCCATTAGAAACACAGAGTTAGGAAGATCATAAAATTGTTCTTGCAATATAAGGTAATAATACCACCGGCGTTTATCTTACTGTTTTCATGTTCTAAGTGTATGCACCTGAGTAAAAGGATCTGAGCGGCAGTCCAGTCTGAGAGACGCCAGCAAAGGCTGCCTAGGCCAGTTCAGTCCAGTAAATCCCTCTTCGATCTTCTCTTCCACACAGACAGCGGTGATGAGCATGCCCATGAACCCACATGATTATTTTGGGGGAAATGAAAGGGTTGTATTTTTGAGGTAGTAATTCTACTTTCAGGGGCAAATACATTTTGATTATTGTATCACCCTTCAGTGAGTTGTTTTTTTTCTTTAACCAAGGATATATGTTTGAGGGAAGAAGTAAAGCATAAAGTATATGATTTTGTGTGTGTTTTTATCTTGCTATACCTGTAGGGAATGTTTAATTCTGCCTTGGAAGTAGCCAAATTTGAAGGTGCTGTGATTCGAACTGTCAGTGGGATAAGGGGGCAGATCAAGAAAGCGCTCTGAGCTCCAGAAGGAGCTTTCCGGGCCAGCTTTCAGGATAAGCTGCTGATGAGTGGTGAGTGTCCTGAGTAGTGTTCAGGGCAGGGTGTTACCATTCATGCTTGACTTCTAGCCAGTGTGACGAGAGGCTGGAGTCAGGTCTCTAGAGAGTTGATCAGCTCCAGCCTTAGATCTCCCAGTCTTATGCGGTGTGCCCATTCGCCTTGTGTCTGCAGTCTCCTGGCCACACCCAGTAACAGTTCTGTGATCTATGAGAATAGTTTCTTAGCGAGCTTTCCCTTCAAATACTTTGCAACCAGGTAGAGAAGTTTGGAGTGAAGGTTTTGTTCTTTGTTTCTTCACAATATGGATATGAATCTCCTTTTGAAAACGTTAAAGTAAATTACCTCTCTTTTCAGATATTGTCTTCATGCAAACTTGGTATCCTGTTTCCATCCCAGCCTTCTATAACCCAGTAGCATCTTTGTTGAAACCCAGTGGGTGAGAAAGACACCTGGTCAGGAATGTGGACCACCAGCCAACTCGGGCTTACCCATGGCGTCAGACTAAAGGCGAACAAGGACTCTCTGTGTAAGGTACCGGTCGCGTGTGTGTTCGTGGAGATGCAGTCTGTGCCCTGCAGACAGGGAGTCACACAGACACTTTTCTATAATTTCTTACATGCTTTGAATGTTCAAGTATAAAGTCTAATGTTAAATTTGATTGAACAGTTGTATATTCACGGAATATTTTGTAACGGAACACCAAAAAATGGTAATAGTGGTTCTTTCTGGATTGAAGACAAACTTTTCTTTTTTAAAATAAAATTTATTTTATATATTTGAGGTTGACCACATGATCTTAAAGGATACATATAGTAAACTGGTTACTACAGTGAAGCAAATTAATGTATCTACCATCTCACATAGTTTCATTTTTTTGTGTTTGACAGGAACAGCTAAAATCTTATTTAACAAAAATCCCAAAGACAACACATTTTTATTAACTATAGCCCTCATGTTGTACATTAGATCTTTAAGTTTTTCATCCTGCATGTCTGCTAGTTTGTATTATTTTAATGTATGTCTCCCCATTTACTATTGGTCATTTCCTATTTGGCCCATTTTTCAACTGGGTTGTTTTTCTGCTCGTAAGTTGTAAGAGTTCTTTACTGATTTTTGGATATTAACACTTTATCAGATATGTGATTTGCAAATATTTCTTCCAGTCTGTAGGTTCCCTTTTCATTTTATTGGTTGTTTCTTTCGCTGTGCAGAAGCTTTTTAGCTTGATGCAGTCCTCCTTGTTTATGTTTGCGTTAGCCTGGCTTCTGGTGCAATATCCAAAAAATTATTGCTAAGGCCAATATCAAGAGGCTTTCCCCCTATGTTTCTTCTAGGAGTTTTATGGTTTCAGGTCTTCTTTAGGTCTTGCATCTGTTTTGAGGTTTAAGTTCTTGTGTGTTGGTGTATGATCAGGGTCCAATTTTATTCTTTTGCATGTGAAAATCCAGTTTCCCAGCACTATTATTGAAGAGAATATCTTTTTTTCCATTGTGTTGTTCTTATTTGCCCTTGTCAAAAATTAGTTGGCAGTATATGACCTTTATTTCAAAAGTCTCTGTTCTGTTCCATTGGTCTATTTTTTGTTTGTTGTTTTTATGCCAGTACCATACTGTTTTGATTACTATAATTTTTAATACAATTTAAATCAGGAGATGTGATGTCTCCAACTTTTCTTCTAACAGTAATCTGTTGGCTGTTTGGGATTTGTTATGGTTCCATATGGAGTTTCAGGATTGTTTTTCTTGTTTTTTTGAGATGAAAGTCTCACTCTGTCACCCAAGCTGGAGTGCAGTGGCACGATCTTGGCTCACTGCAACCTCCACCTCCTGGATTCAAGCAAGTCTCCTGCCTCAGTCCCCAGGTAGCTGAGACTACAGGCACGTCCACCATGTCTGGCTAATTTTTGTGGTTTTAGTAGAGACAGGGTTTCACTATGTTGGCCAGGCTGGTCTCCAACTCCTGACCTCATGATTCACTGCCTCGGCCTCCCAAAGTGCTGGGATTACAGGTGTGAACCACCACTTCCGGCCAGAATTTGTTTTTTCTGTTCTGTGAAGAATGCCATCAGAACTTTGATGAGAATTGTTTTAAATCTGTATATTTGCTTTGGGCAGTGTGAACATTTAACAATATTAATTCTTCTGACATGAACATAGGATATCTTCCATTTGTTCATGTCTAATTTCTTTCATCAATGTTTTATGGTTTTTCAAGTGTACACATCTCTTCACCTTCTTGGTTAAATTTATTCCCTAAGTTTTTGTTTTTCTTTGATGCTGTTGTAAATGAGATTATTTTCTTGATTTCTTTGTTCAACTAGGTTATTTGTATATGAAATGCGACTGATTTTTATATGTGAGTTTATACCTGCAGCTTAACTGAATCAATTTAAGTAGTTCTTACAGTTTTTTTTTTGTGGAATCCTTGGGGTTTTTTAGATAAGGATCTTGTCATCTGCAAATAGAGATAATTTTACTTCTTTAATTTAGTTGCCCTTTGTTTTTTTTTTTCTCATCTGATTGCTCTTGCTAGTACTATGTTGAATACAAGTGACAAGACTGGGCATCTCTATCTTGTACTCAATCTTAGTGGAAAAAGCTTTCAGTTGTTCCCCACTAAACTATGATGGTAGACTGTGGGTTTTTTATAAATGGTCTTTATTATTGAGAAACTTTCCTTCTATACATAAACTATTAAGAGTTTTATGAAGAAATGTTGGCTAAACTTTGTTAAATGCTTTTTTTGCATCAATTGAGGTGACCATGTGGTTTTACATTTTATTTTGTTAATGTGATATATCACATTGATTTGCATATGTTAAACCAGGCTTGCACACCAGGGAATAATCCCACTTATCATTATGTATAATCTTTTTGATGTGTTGTTGAATTCTATTTGCTAAAATTTTTTTAGGATTTTTGCATCAGTGTTTAATTTATTGGAGAAGTTGACTTGTAGTTTTCTTGTGTGTGTATGTGTGTGTTTTGGTTTGGCTTAGGTATTAAGGTGGCACTGGCCTGGTGAAATGTGTTTGGAATTATTTCCTCTCGCTCTATTTTTGGGAGAAGTTTAAGAAGTAAACCCCCAGGGGATGGGAGTGACTCTGGACATGGGAGTTACGTGGTAGTGACTCTGGACCCTGGAGTGGTGGAACACAGCAGCATCCCAGTCTCCATGAGGCCAAGTACAGCACCAGCAAGGACCCCAGAATGGTGGAGCACTGCTGTGGCTTGGGCCCTTGGGGCAGGGACCAGCGCAACAACTACTTCTCTCCCTGGAGAGGCAGGTGCCTGGGCAACTCAGATTCTCCAGGGATAGTCCAGTTTCAAGAAAGCAGGGTTCCACAGTTGTTTGTCCTGAAGGCAAGATATCCCAGTTCAGCCAATGCTATTTTCCTGGGATGTGGGGGTGCCATGTTGTCTCATCCCTGTCAGGTGTGGCTGCTCAGCTCAGCCAGACTGATTCCTGTGAAGCGGGGCAGTGCTGCAGCTCTCATGCAATGAGAGGTTGTCTGCTCTGGGTAGCCAAGGCACTGATTCCCTGGAAGCAGGGCACCAAGTCAGCTCAGGCCCAAGGGGCAGGGCGCAATTGCAGCTGGGAGGGGAGGGGCACAGCAGCCTGGCCCCACAGGGTAGGGTGTATGCTGTGATGTGGACTTCGTTTGTCCCACCAGCACTCATGTTGAAATTTGATTCCAAATGTGGTGTGTGGGAGGTGGGGCCTAGTGGGAGGTATTTAGGTCACTGGGGCAGATCCTTTATGAATAGGTTAGGCCTTTCATGGGACTGGATTAGTTACCAGGAGTGGATTATCAGAGTCAGTTCAGCTTCCTAGACTCTCGTGTTTCCTCTCTTGCCATGTGAGCCCTTTGCATACACCTGTTTCCCCTTCCACTTTCCCCATGAGATGAAGCAGCACAAGACCCTCACCAGATGTGCTGCCCTATCTCAGACTTTTCAGACACAAGCAGGGTGAGCCAAATAAACCTTTTTTATAAAATAAGTTACCGAGTCTCAGGTATTCTGTTACAGCCATACTAAATGGCCTAAGACAGTGTAACAGCAGCTCAGGGGTGGTGGGCCACTAGGCGGGGGTGATACAGAGCAACAAACCCTGAGGATGGTAGAAAGGTGCGGTGGCTGCTCACCCTGGGCGGGACATGCTCCCGAAGTGGTTCCGGGTCCAGGAGGTCACGTTGCAGCAGCAGCTGGTCCATAGGGGTGGGGCGCTCTGAGGGGAGTGCTGGGGCTGCTGGGCCCCTTTTGCTTCCTTATCTCCGCAGGGAGACATCCCCTCTGCTTCAGGCTGATCCCTCTGGGGATGGGTGGTGAGGGACAGATATTTCCTTCCCTCCTTTATGTGACCGTCCTGGTTTTCTGTGCTCTACTGGATTTCTGCTACTCCTTGATGCACTCTGGGGCTCTCCTTTAGAACCTTCATCAAAATATAGTTGTTTGCTGCTTTGGCTGTCTTTGTCAGAGGACAAACGCAGGGGACTATTGATTGGCCCCTTGCTGGTGTCCCTCCCTCTTAAACTTTTCACTGGGTACTCTTTTGAACCACTTTTTCCCCCACCATATACATGTATTTTTAAAGCATCAATGTGCTAATTTCTATTGAAGCAATGTGGAATTTTCTGAAAGTTTTAATGTTTTAATAAGCTTTTTATTAAAATGTTAACGTACATACAGAAGAGTGCCCAAATTGCAGGTGTGCAGCTAGATAAACTGTAGCACACCAGGCTGCCACACCCTGGACCAAGCAGTAGCCTCACCCTGAAGCCTATCCCAGGCACTGCTGCCCCACCCGGCCCCCCAAAATAGCCACTTTCCCAGTTCCTGACATAGATTTGTTCTGCCTGGTTTTGAATTTTATAAAATACAACACATTCTATTTAGCCTGGCTTCTTTGCTTCAGTATTATAGGACACAACCATGTTCTTGTCTATGGCAGACATTGATTTATTGTCATTGTTGAGTTCCATTATATGACTGTGTCACCATTTATCACTGATGAGTAAAATGATTTCCTATTTTTGGCCGTTATCCCATGGCCCTGAACGCTAGGTCTGGATATGGGACTTGCGGGTATGCAGGGGCACACACACTTCTGCTGGAGGATCCCTGGGTGGGGTGGAGACTCCAGGGCACCTGTGCTCTGCCTCAGTGTGGAGGCTTCTGTGTCGTGTTCTGGGAGCACAGTGGCTTGGCCTCCACCAGCAGCAGCAGCTTAAAGAGTTCCTGCTGTTCCACATGCTTGAAGACAATTCAAGTTTTGTTTTGTTTTGTTTTTCTTTTTTTTTTTTAGGTGTTCAGTGCCTGTCTGGACTCCTATTTTCATTTAGATTTTTGGTTTCTTAGAAATTTCGTTATTCTCTTCATAGCTTAACAACGTATTTGAAAAGATTTGTTTTCATGTGGAGTATTCAGTTTTGTAAGAAGAGGGTTGTTCAAGGCATCAGTCTGCCACTCTGCTAGAAACAGAAAGTCTCCCAGGCATTTTTTTTTATATAAAGTAGTTAATGAAATTTTGAACCGTCTTACATGAATTTTTATTAAAATACACTTCAGGATGTGGTGCCCATTATCCATTCTACTCTTCTGTGAGAAGCAGATTTCTCTGAATTCTTGAATTCGAAAACAATTGGGGTTCCTAAACAGAGAATATGGAATATTATTGGGGATGATGTCTTTAATACTACATTTCAAGACATAGGAGAAACTTTTTCTTTAATAAAAGCCTAGGGCAAAACTTTCAATTTATTAATAGTATTTATGAGGCCATTAAGAATTTGTGCCATCTTGATTGAACATAGAATTTAAGATTACCTTGAAAATTCAGTACAGAGTATTTTGCCTTCATCTGTTTTTGAGTCTCCCTTCTTTCAGCCAGCCTTCCATCAGAAATAGAATAAAGTTAAACTTCTTAATTAGAATCAGGAATCAGGACTCTTTGGCTGCTGACTGAAGGAAGAACTGTCCTTAAATCCAGAGTGGGGAGGCGTGGTGGCTCATGCCTGTAATCCGAGCACTTTGGGAGGCCAAGGCAGGTGGATCACCTGAGGTCAGGAGTTCTAGACCAGCATGACCAACATGGTGAAACCCCATCTCTACTGAAAATAGAAAAATTAGCTGGGCATGGTGGTGTGTGCCTGTAGTCCCAGATACTTGCGAGACTGAGACAGGAGAATTGCTTGAACTCGGGAGGTGGAGGCTGTGTGAGCTGAGATTGTGCCACTGCACTCTAGCCTGGGCGACAGGGCGAGACTCTATCTCAAACAAGCAAGCAAACAAACAAACAAACAAATGAAAAACCCAATATCTAGAGTGGTTGATAGTCAAGATGAAAAACTAAATTATTTTTGTTAGGCTGGGAAATAACCACCTCAGTGGCCTAAAGACAAGGCCTAAAATTTCCATGAAAAGAAACTGGGATCTATTCATCTGCTCTGTTGAGACCCCATAGTTCCATACCATAGAAATGGGCACAGAGGGTTTTGGGGGGAGAGTTGTAAGTATAAGCTCTCTGTTCCTCTGTTTACCAAGAATTATGGGGGTCCACTGAGGCAGTTCATATTTGGCGGATGATTGAGACCTGATTTCTCAGGGCCAGTGTACTCTGGTGTTGCTGATCTTGTGGAAAAGTCAACCCAATGAGAAGATTTTATACAGAAGTTTTAAATACACATTGGTCATAATTTGAATATGTCACGGTCTTTATTTTTCTTTTTAGCCAGTCCTAAGGCAATCCTGAGGCAAAAATTCACTGCAGATTCCAAAAGCCTCGCAGAAGGCCCTGCCATTTTAGAACAAGCCCAAGACCCAAGCAAAGGCAGGCAAGGTGCCGAAGAATAGGTGGAGACCGGCCGTCATACGCGAGCCTCATGAAAGACAGGTACTGTTGCCCATGCTGTACTGCATGCTGCGTTTAAATAGGAAAAGAACGCTCTCAGCAGCACACTTCCTGTTTCTACTGCAGTCTCAGTTATTCAGGGCACTGGAACTAAAGTCAGAGGAAGAGCCAGAGTCCATTTCCCTTCCTTTGCCTGGTCCTGCTCTGCCCTGTGCTTTTGATGGGGATAACAGGCACATGGCTGGGGAACTCCTCTGTCTTGGTTAGCTGCACACAGTGTCCACAGAATGATGAACACAGGTGGTAAAGGTAAAATGCGATCACACCTGTGTCTCCATGCCAACAATGACTTCCTAGCGCAGGATGCAGTTTCATGCAGTTAATATTCATTTGGATCATGGGTTGCCTCTAGTCTTAGTGTTTAGGATGCGAGTGTGTCAGGTGGCTGAGAGCATTCTGATACTCACTGGCTTTTGTCCTGGTCAGATCCTCGCACTGCTGGATGCTCTGAGTACGGTGCACAGTCAGAAGATGAAGAAGGCCAAGGAGCAGCAGCACCTGCACAATAAGGAGCACTTCAGAGCCAAGCAGAAGGAGGAGGAGGAGAAGCTGAAGCGGCAGAAGGACCTCAGGAAGAAGCTCTTCCGAATTCAGGGGGAGAAGGAAAGAAGCAACCAGAAGTCCAGTTTGAAGGGGGCTGAGGGCCAGTTGCAGTAAGCCTTTGGACTGGAGGGACTGTCCCTGGATCTGCGGAGGTGGACAGTTTCAAACATCACAGTTTGAATGCCTGTGAATGACAAGTCAGTGGGCAAGAGCCCAAGAGATGTCTCTACCCAAACTGTGCCTGCAAGAGGAGGAACGGAGAAGCCTGGACTGCTGGGACTGGGTTCGTTCTCACCACCTGGGCTGTCGAGATTTAAAGTGATGTAAGCTGTGGTTATGTGGATTCTCTTACTTTCCTCTGCCTGCCTCAGTTTAATTATTTTGTGCTACAAAACTATCATTACAATTTTTTTTTGTTAGTTTTGGCTTAGTAGTTTTCATGAGGGATGAATGCCTGGCAATCCTTTGTGGATAATTATTTATGCTACCACCTTCATGAGGAGTCTTCCAGAAGAGAAAGAAATATTCACTTGAACCCTCAGCTCTCATGGAAAATTTCAGAGAAGGGTGTGTAGTGTTTTTGTTGTCTGTTATTTCCTTTGATCACTGGCCCTTGTGGACATTTTCTATCTTATTTCATATGTTTGCACATTAGTATAGTGACAAGGTAACAGTAAGTACATTTTTAAAGCTTTAGACCAGGAGATTGTCAGGTGCAGAGACCAAGTAAATCGTATATATCAATGAGATAGGCTTCCCATGTTATGCTCATATGTTATGCCCATATTATGCTCATGCATTATACCTGCCTAACTGCATTGACTTTTTTTTTTTTTTTCCCAGACAGAATCTCACTCTGTCACCAGGCTGGAGTGCAGTGGTGCAATCTGGGCTCAGTGCAATCTCCGCCTCCCAGGTTTAAGCAATTCTCCTGCCTCAGCCTCCTGAATAGCTGAAATTACAAGCACACGCCACCACATCCAGCTAATTTTTGTATTTTTTGTAGAGACGGGGTTTCACCATGTTGGCCAGGATGGTCTCAAACTCCTGACCTTGTGATCCACCCGCCTCAGCCTCCCAAAGTGCTGGGATTACAGGTGTGAGCCACGGCACCCAGCTCATTGCCTTTTTAAAAAATTAAACATTATATTGATATAATCATACTATTATAAAGGCAATGAATGTATTTTTATGATTATATGTTGATATAATTATATGCATCTAATCCTATACAATGTAATCATAGAGTCACACATAGTTGTATACTTTGCCCAATTTCTTTCAGCGGTAACATTTCACACATATCACAATCAGGATATTGATATCAATACAACCCACTGATTTTATTCACATTTCCCCAGCTTTACTTTCCCCAACGTATACTCCTCCATGTGTGCATGTGTGTGTAGAAATATGGAATGCAGCTGGGCACAGTGACTCACGCCTGTAATCCCAGCACTTTGGGATGCTAAGGCAGGAGGATCACTTGAGCTCAGGAATTTGAGACCAGCTTGGGCAACATGGTGAAACCTCATCTCTACAAAAAATACAAAAATTTGCCAGATGTGGTGGTGCACACCTGCAGTTCCAGCTGCTTGGGAGGCTGAAGCAGGAGGATCACTTGAGCTCAAGAGGTCGAGGCTGCAGTAAGCCGTGATAGCACCACTGCACTCCAGCCTGGATGACAGAGCAAGACCCAGTTTCAAAAAAAAAAAATGTATATTTATATATACCTATATAAAAATATATATACACATATATATACGGAGAACATATATATACACACATATATATGTAGAACATATATATACACATACATATATGTAGAACACTTCATGAATTTATATGTCATCTGTGCACGGGGCCCATGCTGACCTCTGTGTTGTGCCAGTTATAGTATGTGTGCTGCTGACATGAGTACCGCATTGCCTTTACAACATCATAGGGGCCAAAGAGGGTCAGCAGGATTGTGAGCAGTTGGCCTAGTCTGAGAGGCTGTCTAAAAGCCGAAAGCTGTCAATAGACAGGTGCTCAGCTTTGTGTCTCCATAAGAAGGGAAGGGGATGTGAGGATCCCATCAGGGCTGGGTCCATCTGGGATGTGATAGTTAGAACATGCCCAGACCTTTCTGAGCAACTCTGGGTGTAAATTTTCCTCTATTTCTCAAGAGCTATTATGAATTTCATCATCCAGCATGCTGACAGATCTGGGGACTGACACATAGTAAGTCCATAACAATTATAAAACAATTTAAAACTAATATGTTATATAGCATAATCTGTACATTTTAAAATGCAAAACTATAATTCAATTAAACTAAACAAGACACTCTGTCATACCATGTTTTATAATTAAGTAGCTTATAAAGTGATCAGCAAGTGGCTTATACAACAAGCAAATTTGTTCAAAGAGAAGCCTTGCAAATAAGTATTTATATTGTATAGTTTTATATTTCAGCCAGAAGAGTGAACTCCTTTAAGCAATGGGAGAAATAAAAGAATGTTTAATTACAGTTGCAGATAATTGTCTTTTCCAAAGGCAATATATGTAGGTAGAAGTCGTACCTGTTAATATGAAAAATCTTGGTTTACCATATTTGGAGAACAAGGGAAATAAAAAGTTTGTATATCAAGATTATTTAAAACTAAAGTTAAGGAATCTCTAATGTCTGAAAGAAATAATAAATAGCATTTTCTATGTAGAATTTTTATTGGTGAAGGTCCCACCTGGCCAGGTTAGTAAAATACAGTCACACATCAATTAAGGATGGGGATACATTCTGAGATATGTATCATTAGGCAATTTTGTCATTGTGCAAACATCATAGAGTGACACGCAAGCCTAGATGGTACAGCCTACTGTGCACCTGGGCTCTATGGTATGGCCTATTGCTTCTAGGCTACAAACCTGGACAGCATGTGACTGTACTGACTACTGTAGCCAGTTGTAACACAGTGGTAAACATTTATGTATCGAAACATAGAAGAGGCATAGCAAAAATAGGATATGGTGGAACCACCGCATATATGTGGTCCGTCATCGACTGAAAGTCATGCGGCATGTGGCTGTATGTATACACATAGTTTTTGCTGTGAGTTTGCATCCATCTCATAGGAAGACATATGTCACAATGAGGACCACACTGGAGAGTGTGTAAATTACTTTTCAATACTAATAGCTTATTCATTTGATATTGTCAGCAAGTATGTTGCAAAAATAAATTCCACCAGAATGTGAGTTCCCTGAGAGCAGGAACTGGGTTGTTCACCTTGCTGGCACTTGGAGTAAGAGCCACTGAGCTTAGCACTGCATAAAATTGCTTGGAAGAAAGAAGGGAGGGCATTCCAGGTAACTGAAGCATTGCTATGCAAAGTAAGCATTTGCCCTCTAAAATATTTTAACAATTTTTATAGAAACCTTTCTCAATTGCATTGAACTTTATTAATTGTAAAAATTACTCTGTTATACCTTTCTATGCTTTCACTATGCACAGGCAGCCATAGGTGCTGGGTATGTTTTGAAAACATATTGAACCTACAGTGTACATATCATTCCATGCCATTAAATATTCTTATTTAATCATAGATGTGTTCAGGTGTGTTTGGTTTCCTATTTGTGGATGTACTAGATTATTTCTTTTTTTTTAACAAAACCTGTGAACTTGCTTTAAGTATTATCATTTGGTGACATGCTTGCCATTTCACACCTGGCTGACCCCATGTCTATTTAAGCAGATTTAATTAAAAAATTTAAAAAAAAAATTTTAAGGCCGGGTGTGGTGGCTCACGCCTGTAATCCCAGCACTTTGGGAGGCCAAGGCGGGTGGATCACAAGGTCAGGAGATCGAGACCATCCTGGCTAACATGGTGAAACCCCGTCTCTACTAAAAAATACAAAAAATTAGCCGGGCGTCGTGGCGGGTGCCTGTAGTCCCAGCTACTCGGGAGGCTGAGGCAGGAGAATGGCGTGAACCGGGGAGGTGGAGCTTGCAGTAAGCCGAGATCACGCCACTGCACTCCAGCCTAGGCGATAGAGAGAGACTCCGTCTCAAAAAAAAAAAAAATTTTTTTTAAGAAAAAAATCTGTATGTAGGTAGACCCATGTAGTTTGGACACTTGTTGTTCAAAGGTCACAACTGTACCTGTGGTGACTGATATAAAACAGATGACCAAAAATGTTAGTTTTATTTCCCCATCTGGTCCCATTTAAAAGAGCTGTTTAGGTCTGAGAATTTTCACGTGTACAAAGTTCCACTCAAGGATGCCGAGGAACTGCACCCCTCTTGCTGGAGTCCAGCCCTCCGCACCCAACCCTGCTGAGTGCTGATGCACCTTCCATCCCTGTCACACTGTTGTCTCGGGAAGGTCACGTGAGTGGAGACACGCAGCATGGGATCTCTGTAACTGGCTGCTTTTGCTAAGCATCATGTTTTTGAGATCCACCCCAGTGCTCTGTGTGTCAGTGGCATGTTCCTTTCTATTGTGGAATGGTGTTTGCCTGCACAGGGAGACACGGGTGGTTACCCCTTCATCCATGGGAGGACATGTGGTTGTGTCCAGATTTGGGCGATTATGGACAGAGTTGCTATAAATATTTGTGCAGAGGTTTTCATGTGAACACAATTTTTCCTTATTGCAGGGAAAATCGTTGTGGGACTGCTGGGCCATGTGGTTTAACAGAACTGTCAAAGTGCTTTCCAGTGTCACCTCACTGTGGTTTTGATTTGCATTTCCCTAATGACTAGTGTTGATGGTCTCTCATAGGCTTGCTGTCTTCCACATAGAGCGTCCTCTTCAGTGAGGATCCAAGTCTTTTACCCACTTTTGTTTGGATGGTTTTCTAACTGTTGATTTTGAGAGTTCTTTATACATGCCGGACTACTTTCTTTGTTGGATATGTGGTTTGCAAATATTCTCTCCCAGCCTTTAGCTGTCTTTTCAGTGTTTTTTAATAGTGTCTTTTTCCAAGCTATGTTTTTTTATTTTGATTACGTCTAATTGATGGATTTTTGCTTTTACATGCATTTGGCGTCATGTCTAAGAACAATTTCCCTAACCTCAAGTGATGAAGATTTCTTCCTATGTTTTCTTCCAAAACTTTAAACACACTCTCTCTCCCTCTCTCTCTCTCTGGTACCAAATAAAGAGGAAACACTCATGACAATTGCAGTCCTGGTTTCTGTAGCTGGTCACATGGTCCTATAACTACGTTCTTCCACTCCCCAGTATGTATTCCCTTTGCCTTCAGGAAGCCTCTGCTGGTTGTGGTTTTTAACTTGGTGGGGAACCCTCATTCCCAAAGGTTCTGGACTATTACTAATCCTGCCTAGATTGGGTTGTTGTGCTTTTCCATTGATCTTAATCACAGCACATTCCCCAAGAGCCCTCCTATACCCCAGACATGCTCTTCCCCAGTCCGTTGT